CCAACGTGATACTTGCATTAACTGAAAAATCCAAGTTCGAAGTGTGTGTTTGTTTGTTTTTAAATGGCCGGTCCCTTCAGAACATCCCAAGTTGGCGGGCCAACCGATGGTACAGTTGGCGGTTCTTGTGCACCAAGGGGGTGGGGTTAGAAGAGGACGTATGGAAACATGTGATCATCAGCGGAAGGGCCACTTCCGAAGCAAAGCACCCCCCAAGATGGATGCGACGCGCCCCAGACCCCCCCGGACGCGACCATGAGATGTGAGTTGCTGCCCCGTTCAAGGAATCGGCCAAAAAGGACCCGTTGAAGAAGGGCTTGGTGGGAATTCCCGGTGAGTTCTGAGAAACCGGTTTGGCTGGGAAAGAGGAGTACACTTCCTGCAGGTTTGGGATTCTGGGGGTGATTTGGCGGATTTGGGGAGTTCGGTGAAGTCAAACTGCCGAAGGCATGACCATAGGATGGTGAAATCAAACACTAAAGATTGTGAAGAAACGGACACAACAGTTAGTATCCCAGGCAATTGCAGGAAACAGAGTTGTCCAAACTGATATAATGTTTCTACTTTTTTTGCATATACATATCATATACATGTGCATATATACGATATATATATATATATACCCCCACCCCTTGTTAAAGAAATCAAGGGGGGGTGAGGTAAAAGAAATCAGCTCCAGTTTCTTTTCCTGATTCCCCTTCCAACCAGGACTTTTAGTTCATGAACACGGACTTAAGCAGACATGCAAAGCCTTTCCATGTCAGACTGAAGTGTCTTGTAACACCATGCAGAACGTGGCTAGAAGCAGACATGCAAAACTGAAGTGTCTTGTAACCAAGGAAGAACTTGTTGCCAGGTGAACAAAGAATTTATTCCTTCGGTGGATGTGAAGTCAACGCGGCCGCGAAACGGGGCTGCACATGAGGGTGAAATATGCGCATATTTTGCACAATCCGTTGCAGCGTGATCCGCTGCCCCAATACCCTGATCCGCTTACGCTTGCCGAGCGTAAGCAGATTGCTTGCTTCCCCTGCATATGTTTTTATATGTGCGATTATTTATGCATATTTCACGCTCAGCACAAATGCCCGGCCGCCAGGATGTCACATCCACAGAAGAAGACAAAATCCCCAACAGCGCGAAAAAGAGACCGGGGCGCTGACCACGTGGTGGGTCGCTGGTGTAATTTCATTGGGAAAAGAATCTGGGGGACCCCCACCCCCCCCCTTAAGGGATTGATATATATATATATACACATATTGTTTTATGTGTAATTATCATGCATGCATGCACTTCATGCATGCACTTATTAAAGACCCAGGGGAATGCATGTCGTCACGATGTGCCCGTAGTAAGGCACTTGGCATGGCGTCGACAGAGCCTTGGCCAAAACTTTTTGATTACCGCTGGAGGGTTGGCGGTTGACCAGGTTTTTCTGTTTTTTGCTGATGTCCCCGGAGACTGGTAAAACGGAGGGAAAGTCCAGATAAGGCTCCTGTAAGTGGGGAGCACCGAGTACTGGATCCCAAACCGGGAAAACAGAGCAAGCACACAAGCTTGGCGAGAATAACAGAGAGGAACTAACTTTTGCTAGCAGCTCAGCAATGCAAAGAGATGTAAGAAACGACATGGACCCTCCAAGTATCTTAGAAAATGGGCACAACTATGCATATACAAATGCAATAATACAGGGCTTCGTGTGGCTTTCCAGATGCTGCTGGGCCGGAAACTGTAGAACCGCCAGGCCAGCATGGAGGCGGCCTTCCGTTATTTGGCAGAGGAGATTCGGTGTCTTGGTCGCTGGAGCTTGGGGGCCTGGTGCAGGGGGAGAAGCACACTCAAATACTGCGAAAGGCATGGCATGGTATAGCATGAGTGAGAAAAGGGAGAGAGGAGGTATTCTGGAGTTTCAACTTGATGCCGTCGAGGCAGAGCAGTATTCTGGGAAGATCCATGCAAAGGTCAGTGGTGAATCCAGAACTCTAAGGAATGACAGGGAGCTTATCATCAACTAGGCCACCAACAGGTCTTGATTCACAGAAACAGGCCACCGGAACATGCCTGAAGCTACGGCCTGGGGAAGAATACCTAGTGGATGGGTCGGATAGGGGTTCCCCAAGACCCTATGGCATGGCCTTTCAGCAGTGATTCTTGCATGACATGGCAATGGTTGACGAGTGGTACGTGCAACTCCGTTGTGATCCTAGCTATGTTTGGCATACATGGTGCAGCACGTATATAGACAGTGCGCCATTCTCATCAACATGCACATACATGTACACACACATACACACATACACGTACATACCATACCATACCACTACATGATATACATTACATTGCATTACACTACACCCTACTATAACTTTACATGACATTACATCACACATCACATCACATCGCATCACGTTTTGTCTACAGCCACCTGCTCCTTCCTCGTCCCGCCGTCCATGCCCCCTTTTTCGCCCATCTCTCGCTGTCGAGGCAAGAGATGCGCACGGAGATGATGAAGGTGGTGGAACGTGCCGCTTCCTCTTGTGCGTCGATTTGTATGGATCGCCCCTCGAACGGAAAAACAAAAGACACACGGACTTGGTGCTGAAGGTGCTGCGAGACATAAAGACCGATGATGATCCATACGGGGAATATGTGCGGTAGTCAAAGAGCGTGGAGAATCAGATGGGACCCGGGTTGTTGTGAAGTGCATATTCATGGTATAGTTGTTATTTATTGTTCTTTTTGGGGGGAGGTGTTTTTGGACCAGTTAGGGGTGTACGTTCCTATTTTTTCGGTGCTGTGCGTATGATTGCCTTGCAATCCCACAAATTCCAAGGTTCCTTTCAGACCTCATCATTTGGCAACGCATTTGCGAAGATGTGGTGATTCTCGCTGTTCCAAGGGGCTTTGGCCTAGGATGCGCAATGCTATGGAATATATTACTATATGTAAGCTGAAAAACAGACATGTACAATGTACAATCAAACATTTATATATATATATACTGTAGTTATATAACATGCATGGCGCGCATATAAATAGAACCCATATTGGACACCTGCTGCTTTGATCAGACAACCCAATCTTGTGGACTGCTGGTCCTCCCAAAAGCGGCTCTTTTTGGACGTCTCTTTCCTTTCAAGCCGCCTCGGCTGAAAGCTCGCTCGCGCTCGACGGGTCGGGTCGGGTCTCAGACGGGTCGGGTTTTCACAGCGCGACAGCGGGGGTTCAGACGGGTCCGAACCCGGTGTGGCCCAGGAATGCAAGCGCTCCGGGCTGAACTGCTGTCGGAGTTTGAGGCCCGGGCGGTGGCGCGGTCCGGTTCGATGGGCAGTGAGTGGGCGAGAGTGAGGGCCGATGTCGCGCATGAGAACCGACATGGCGTGGTTTTTGCCCAACTGACCTTGGGAATGCTAACAAAATTGCGTATATATAATATACATGTACACCCGGGAAAATTAACATGGAACCTCACAACCACTGGGTTGTATAGAGAACAAATGGTATTCCAAAGGTCCATTTTCAGGGTCCATGTTAATTTTCCCGGGTGTATAATGTAGAATATTGAGGTCCGAGCTCATAGAAGTTCATGACCCCCACCTGGTTGAACTGGAGATTCACCTTAATTACACCGGGTTGATGCTAAAAGCATGTGTCTTGGAACTCTCGAAAGAGCTTCTTCGAAACCGCCCTCCTCCAGGAAGTTGCCCAGAACAAAGGCACCAGTAACGAAGCTGCCCAGGAGGCCTGGTGACGTCGTGACTTTGTTCTTTCAACCTGTTTAGGCGGTTTATGTTTACGGCCTTTGTGAACTTGAGGAACTGCCAGAGGCTTGATTCGTTATTATTTCCTGAGTTGTTTTTGTCATTAAATTTGTCCATGGAAGGTATACGAGCATGAAAGAATCGCTTTAATCAATGGACCGACCTGTTTGGTTTTGGGAAATCCGCATGAACAGGCAGTGAACGGACCATTTTTCGGTGTTTTACGGTGTTCCTTCGAGCTTCCGTTCAACTCTTGCATCCTGACGAATTGAAGCGGAAGAACCTTGCACATTCGCCTTTCTCGCGCAAGAGCCCAACAGCATGAGAAAACTAGGTGGTTTCGGAGAGTTCTATGTTCAATCTTTACTTTGGATGATTGATCCCACTGAGTAGTTATGTTTCAAGTGACTTGAAACCACCACCCAGATTAGAAAGACGGATGTTGGCTCCCATGTTGGCACGCGCCCCTTCCAAGCTGGAGACGGTTTGATGATCAGAATGACACGCACCAGATGCGGTATGGCGGGACCTGATGGGTTTCAGTGGCGACGTTGCCGTGATGGGTTTGAGTCGCCCGCGACGTAGCTCCGGCCAAACACCAACCCAACTTGACCTGAAAGAGTAAATGACAATCGTTGAATCGTTGAGCAATGTGTCAAACTGCAAACACTCATACAAGTGAGATGTAGAGCATCCCTGCTACGCCCGGCTCGCCCGCCAGGTGCGACGGCGAACCAGCTTTTACGAGCTCTACTCTGATGTGACTTGACTGGTGACGAAGTGGTGCTTTACTTCCCAACTTCCCAAAAATCCCGCCCTGAAGTAGGAGCAACCACAGACAATTCAATCGACTTGGCTGAAAAACTCTCAACACGTAACCATCACTGGGATTGTTGGGGCGGGATTTGTTTGGGGTACCAATTCACTGAAAACGGGAGTGGGCACCAGTAGACGTCAATGAACAGCTGCAGCAATAATTACAATATATCTATCATTCACAAGATACATAGTAGTCAAACATATATATCATATGTGTGGATCTCGTTTCGGATCTCGCTCGGCCAGCAAAATCCGCCGAGGACGTGAGGATGGGTTGCTGGGCGGTGGTTGGAGCCGACGGCTTCGGCTTCGGAGTCGGAGAAGGAACGGCCGAATGGATCCCTAAGACCTACCAATCTTCCAACGATTGATTGGAGGATTGGAGCTTCCCCACTTAAACAAGAACAGAATGCAACAAGGTTGACCTGTAATTGTCCAATGAAACGGCTTGGAGTCAATGTCAAGACCACCTCAACAATAGCCACATTCCGACTTGCCAGATGCATCCAGACTGCGCATGGTGCGCAGGCTGCGCAGTTGTTGTGGGTTTGAACCTGCAACAGGTGGCAGTGTTCAAGACTGAGCAGCTCAGGTAGCAGCTCAGGTACCAATGTCAATGGTGAAGAGTGCAAGGTAGCAGCTTGTTTTCTGGACCACAGACCCAAGGGGGTTTCAGTCAAGGGTGGTGATTTTGTTGGTGGAACTCCAGCGCAGTGTCAGCACAGGAGTTCGAGGAAAATTGTTTTGGAAGAAGCTTTGTGACAGAGATCCCGCCATTTTTTGAACCTGTGAAACTGAAAGAGCCCCACTTGGGCAAGATGAGTGATGTTCCATGCCTGTTTGGTTTTTAAAGGGCCAGAAACGATGCATTTGCAATTGTTCTTGGAATACTTGAGGACTGTTTGCCCACCACGTTTCTGAAACGAATGTAGATGTAATCACCAAGTTGTGCCATCTACTATGACCCGTTGATGTTCTGGAAGATTGCTCCTCAAAGCAGGCAGCGTTTCTGCACCCCCGCATTTCCACACGCTATTGAACTGCACCAGAGTGAGAATTTGCAATACTGCCGCAACTCCCACGCAGAGACCCCCGCGGCCTTCCCTATCCAGTGAGAGTGGTACGTTGTTTCTTCTCACCCAGGTGTGCTAGTTCCACCAGATTCTCGGTCGTTCGAAGTTCTATCCCAAAGGCTTTTCGAGGAGAGGCGGTCATCCCCAAAAGCCATCATCATTCCTTTAAATGGTCTCAGTGACACACGCGTCGTCAGACGTCGCCCTTTTCAGCCGATTTCAGCCTTCGAAAGAACCGACCCTTGCTTCGAAGCTGCAGAGGGCTTCTGGGGTGGGGTGTCAGAAGATCCAAACCGGGGGGGGGAGATGGAGATACACTCCCGGACAGAACGTCCTCATGGTGGAAGTGGATGGCATTGCCCAGAATTCGGATGACCCTGAAATCCGAAGACCAGAGCAGGTGGCACAGTGTCAGGGAGTGTAGTCAAAAGGCATGACAAGTAAATGTGTGATTTCTTCAACCCAAATTACAAAATACGGAGACGCACGGGATATTTGTTGGAAGAGATAAACTCTTGATGTACTCAGCCTCTTCCAAAGAAACCCTGTTTGTGCCTCCTTTTCCAGCTGTATTCGGTCGGTGGCGGGGACATCGACGTGTTTGCAGTATATGAGGTTCAGATCAGGAGGATGATGGCGAGGACCTTGCCAAGCTCTACGAGCATTTGGATGCCCGATCGGCAAGATGTTTGGGTCCTTTCCTTCACGTTTGTTTCGGTCCGGTGGTGTTTCCCACACCCAGACACGACCTGTCTGGGACTGGAAGAGGACTGCCGCCCCATGTAGGGCCCTTTTCAACCAACCTCAACCAACCACCCCATGGGACTGCAGCCTTACAGCCTTAGATGAAGTGTTTGGGAGGCTAAGCCCTTTCGAACCATCCTCATCTGGGCCGGTCTGGGCGGGGCACGGCTCAAGTTACAAGGCCCTGATAGAATCATGGACGTGGAAAAAAACACCTCTTTGGTCTTCTGAAAAAGGGCCATGACTCGGGCCCATGACACAGGCCCATGATTGCTTCAGGGGTAGTGTCACCCAAAATGGGGGGAGAGTGTCTTTGTTTTGAGAGGAACCTTTCTGGGAGCGTCCCAACGAACGCTTCTCTTGCCGAACGCTGGCGCGAGTGGAAGCAGCACAAGCTGGCTCCTGGAAGCAGCCGCTGCAGATCCTCGCTTGGTTTGGTCGGAGGCGTTGTTCTCCACCGAGGAGAAGTGTGCCCGGCGCCGCAGCAGTGCGCAGCTTGGTTCCGGTGGATTGGCCCAAGGCAGGGGCGGCTGGCTGTTGAGTAGAGCTGTGGCTTTTTCAAAGTCGATGGATACACAAGTGGTTTCAGAGGTGGCACTGGTACTCCAATATGCGACTTGGGATGACTTGGGGATGGTGGCATCTACTCTCTGAAACCGTACCTGCCACACAAGCGCCGGCTGAGGTTAACATCAATCGTGTTCACCTGATTGAAAAAGCCCCACGTGCTAGTCACAGCTATTACAGTAGTCACTGATGTATACAATTGTATACACCATTAAATGCGATAAGCCTTTGGGTTTTGGCCAGGTGTAGGATGCTTCCCCGACATGTTTGTGCAGCAGAGTGGCACAGCCCAGTGACTTCAGGGAAGTAGTACTTACTGTAATAGTACTGCATAAGTTTGTGCGATGTCTTTTTTCCCATGTGTTTTCCACACATGTGAAGCACATAAAGAACACTGTATTGTTTTGTGGGTACGGAGTGGGCATTCATGCCTACAGATAGAATGTACAAGAAGAACCAAGAAGAGCAGGGAATCAAACCTTGATCACCCACACATTCACATCACCCACACATTCACAGCAATAGTTGATGCAGCGCAAGCCAACTGCACTGCCTGTCCCCCGTTTCAGACATTCAGTAGCATGTGCTTTCCATTTTTGTTCTCTTCTTCATTGATTTCCTCATTCTGAAGGTTCCACAATAGAAGTGCTAGGCTGTTAGAGTGATATAACTCCCAGTTGGACTTTAGCTGGCACAACACTTTCCCGTGTGACGTGCCACTGGACGTTGCTGGATGTCGGAAGTGCATCTGGAACCCTACTTCAAAGTTAGATTGACCTTGCCAGCTAGGAGGTCACATCAGATGATCATGCTCCACACAGAGCAGGCGGCTCAGCTGTAAATCGATGTGCTTACACGCGCCAGGCTTGTTGAATCTACCCGGACAGGCTACCGACATCAAAAGCACCTAAGCTGAAGGGTGGGAACCTTTTTTCTTGCAGGTCATAGCCCGTAGCTGTGCATGAGCATTACATTGGATGATAGCTGAGCTAAATCATGCGATACATCCTAGTGTACAATGGTTATGCAGAGCATGGAGGGACTTGCATTTACCTTCCAGTATATAAATACATACTGATGCTAGAAGGGAAAACCATGTATGTGAACGTATGTGAGAGGCTTGCATGCTTGTTGATGACTTCCCTTGAAAGGTTCCGTTGTTCCTTGCCAGGGATGAACACACCCCCTTTCGCCTCCAATATATGGCTCCACCCCAATTGCAATGCCCCCATCAGACCAGATAGGTGCTTCATGCAGCTGCAGCTGCAGCTGATCATGCGTCCAATCGTGCGGCGGGCGTTCGGTGTTTTTCGCGTGAAACAGCTAATTCAACTGAAAAACAGCTGAATAAACATCCTGGTGTCGTTGAGCTCCATGTTTGTTTGTGCGAATGGAAGTGCAGCGACACGTACAGTGCAACTTGTACATATATATGTACCATATGTACTTTGGCTCAAGGATCAAGCGACTAGAAAAGGTGCGGTTTCCGTTCCGACGCTACGCCGCTTATGGACCGTCAGTGATAGCTTCAAACTTCGCTGATTAAGATCCACTCGCAGGTTATCAGCCGTACGCGCTCTTTATAGCCGTACGAGCTACACGAGACCAAGAACAAGACTAGTCATTACAGAAACCTGCAATGTCAAGCTCAGGAGGAAATGGAAGCGAACCCTATTCATTCGCTGCTCCTGGTGGTCCCAACACCATTTCGTCACCAGACTCTACAATGGGTACTGATTCATCAGCAAATGCTGACGTTATCACTATGCCTACTGGATCACAAATCTCGGAAAGATCCGTGCCACCGGCTCGGAATCTGACCGATCTTGCACCCGTAGGACCAAGAAGATCGATGAGAGCTACAACAAGATCTACATCGCCTATAACGTCTACCGCGAGATCCCCGAGAAGGAGTATAGAGAAGAGACGTGACGATGATAGAGGAACAAAAGAGCAAAGAAGAGAGATTCAGCTGGGTGAAGAATTGAGATCGGCGAGAAACGCATACAATTTTCTTCATGAAGAATATGAATGCATCCAAGCCGGATACTCACGACTACACCACGAGGCTGAAGTGGAGTTCAGGCAAATGTCTGACTACAACAGGAAGATGCAGGAACATCTACAAGAGGTGACACAGGAAGATGAAGGAGCGACAATAAGAATTGAAGAGCTCGAACACAAGCTACGCTTGGCGGAATCGACAGCTGAACATATCTACATGAGATATCAAGAGCTTGCGCAAGAAACTCATCAAGAACATTCAGAGCTTGAATCTGTGAAAGCAACGAAGGACAGAATGTCCCAAGAGCTTCAAGCAGCAATTGGACACATCCAAGAACAGAATGAATCTTCATTGGCGATCAATAGAAGATCAAAAGCCATTCAGGATGAGAACACAGCCTTCGTCGGAATAGCTGACCAGATACAAGCTAGAATGATTGCGCTACAGGATGAGAATGTCAACATGCACGAGGTGATCCAACACCAGAGAGAAGAACAATGGAACAGTGAGGTCAGGGAAAGACGTCTTCAACACAGTGTTCACTCATCTCAAGATCAGAGCAATCAGGAAGCTATGGTTATTGATCATCTACGAGGTCAACTAGCTATGGCACGTGGAGCTGAACTCAACGCGAGAGCGGAGATAGAAGAGATGGAAGTGGGCATGAGGATGGAGATATTTGTATGCCAGACTGAAGTCTCTGCTAAAGAAATGGCAGAAATGAAGGCGAGCCACCATGAATACGAAGCAAACGTCGCAAAGGAGGTTATAGCAAAAGGAGAAATATTCAACAACGAAGTCCTAGAAGGTTCCATCCGTGAACGACAACAGTTGAAAGACGCCAACCTCGCTCTATCCGAAGCCAACGCACAGCTGAAAAGAGAGAATATGATGAGAGCTCCTATGTTCGGCGATGATGGTGCTGAAATTCAACAGAAGATCAGAGAACTGGAGAATGCACTATTGGAAAGCCAGAAGGAGACAAAGAATGTCATTATGGAAAATGCGAAATTAAAAGCAGAAGCACGAATGGCACCCATAGTCTCTCGGTACAGCAAGCGTCCTAGTTCCAGAGACCGCGGGTTACCAACCCACGCGTCCGAGGAAGATGAGATTCGGAACGCAAAAGAGGAGGCGAAGCACTACAAGGACGGGTACAATGAAATGACAGAGAGCCGAGATGAGATGTATGAATGGTATGCCGAAACCCACAATGAGTACGCCGAGGAAAGGGAGAAATCAATTGAGCTATCCGAGGCGAACAAATCATTGAGGGACAAGATTTCAGAAGCAGAAGCATCCTCTTCATCTCATCTTGCACCGGCAACCTCTACAATCATGAAAGTATCGAGGAAGGAAGAATCAAAGATAAACGTTCCGTCATGGCCCAGGATCAATGATCTTGGACTATGGAAGGCAAATCTCATTCAATCGATCATCATTGCGGCCAATGATTCAGATCAAGAGCCCTGGATCGACTGGATCAAAGAAGCCATGGACGATCCTGATCCGGACAAGTTTGTCGACTCAGGAGACCAAAGATTCCATTCAATCGATGCCAAACTCGGCCTAGCTCTTACCAAGGTCGTCATGGATGCGAAAGATGATGGTTCAGGTGTAGCTATGAAGTTGAGGACGAGGATCAATGCAAAAGGGAGAACATCAAGCCTCATAAAGGGAAGAGAGGTCCTAGCCCTGATCCTTATGAATTTCAAGACAACATCAAATGTGGAGGTCTTATATACTTCAATGCACCTCTACCAACTAGAATATCAAGGAGACAAGAACTTATCGTTGTTCTTCCACACTTGGGATGAGATTCTGGCAGGAATGAAGCCCGTTGACGTCCCGAGCGACGAAACTCTTCGGGATCTCCTATGGAGAAAGATCAGGAACTCAAACCTCATGGCATACGACATCAGCGCCTACAACAGCATGAACGACGATGATGCCAAGAAGACATACAAACATCTACGTGATATGATCAGAAGGCACATCGAACGGCAAACTGAAGACAGGATGATCCTGGAAAAGGAGAAGGCAGTGAAGAATGTGGCCAATATCTTTCAGAATCTCAAACCAGGCGGACCTGCTCCAAAACTGAAAGCTGCACCAGCTGATCCGAAGAAGAAACCAAAAGGGCAACAAGAACAGGTTGTCTCAGAAGACGCTGCTGCAGTGAAGCCGAAACCCAATCCCAAGAAGCATCCTGAAGACAAGAACAAAAAGGGAAAGGGGAAAGGTAAAGGTGATGGAAAGGATCGCAGCCGAAGTCCGAGTACAGACAAGAAGAAGATACCATGCAAATACTTCGTGAAAGGTAACTGCACTATGGGGAAAGATTGCCCATTCAGTCACAAGAAACCCAGATCACCATCCAGAGGATCTTCTGTCGGAAAGAATGACAAGCCAGTATGTTGGATGTGGATTCGAGGAACTTGTGACAAAGGGAAGGATTGCAAGTTCTACCATGACCCAAAAGCCTCTCCTAAGAAAGGGATATCTGCACCAGCTGACTCAGGAGACGATAGGCCAAAGCCCAAGGCAAAACCCAAACCGAAGCCTAAGGCGAAGCCTGGAGCCCCAGCCATTGACGGTGAACTCTTCATGGACGAATCCGAAGATGAAGGGATTGCTGCATCCGCCAAGGCAAGAGAAGGAGGTGCAAAAGTATCCTTTGATGAAGAGACTTGTGAGATCATGTTGAACGAAGCGATCTACTCAGTCAGGAACAAATGGAAGGTAGTAGAAAGGAAACCTCTACGTCCAGACATCAAACGATACGATGAGAAAGAGCTCACCTGCTACACGAGGAAAGAACAAATCAGATTTGAAGAAAAGGTCGCAGAGGCAAGAGGCATATTGATGGTCCCCTACACTGAGATCAAGAGGGTCCGAATACCAGTTGGACCAAAGGGTGACCTAGCGGTCACTATGTATTTTGACGAAGATGACGGCCTAGTTTTCCATCATAAAGTCATTCCTCATGTATGCGAGGGAAAGAAAGATCATGCAGACACAAAGACATTGTCTATTCCAGCCAAAGGGTCAAGAACAAAGTTCATCATGGACACAGGATGTGGGTATGATTTGATATCGAAAGGCAGAGCCAAGAAATTAGGTCTGGAAGTGAGAGAAAGCGACCAATCAATGTCATTCTATACCGCAAATGGAGTGACATCCACAAAGGGAGTCGCCGACATTCATTTCGACGAATTTGACTCTACCTACTCCCCATTCGTCTTAGATGAGTCTCCTTCAGTACTGTCTGTTGGAAAGAAATGCATGGAGGAAGGTTACACATTCATATGGCCAGCCTGCGGCAACCCGTACATGGTTTCCCCGAACTACAAGAAAATCATGTTAGAAGTAGAGGGAAACATCCCATATATTGTCAAGGGCAGTGACTTCTGTAACCCCACCGACGATGTAAGGGCGGAGATGATCGCAAGGTTCACCCTAGGAGAAGGTGAAGCTGATTACCAATCGGCTTTCATCAACTGTGATGTGGATCCTCAAGGCGTCATGTGTGATGATGACGACCTCCCTGTGATTGAGCCTCCAAAAGTCAAAAGACGAAAGAGGAATAAGAAGTTCAAGGCATCTCCTGGAGAAGAAGATGAGGTAGGATCAGATGTCGCCGGAGACAGTGAACCAGAAGCTGACGATGATGATGCAGATGACATCGAGGTGGATATTGTTGACGGTGCAAGTAGAATGGTGAGAAGAGGAACTCTGAAAGCAGATGCCAGGAAAATCGAGCATCTACTCACACATCGTTACAAGAATCCCTACTGTGAGTCATGCATCAGAGCAAAGATGAAACACTTCAAGACGCATCGAGGAGCGTTCAAGAGAAAGCTCAAAGCTTTTGGAGATCTGGTTACCTTTGATTTTG